TTTTAAGGATATTTTCTTAGTCCACTTTAGGCCCCTTACTACCAAGTGAGCATCATATTCAACACCACAGATGCTACTTGAATGTTATTGCTGTCCATCTCTTTATCCATGTTCTCATGGCTGCCTCTAACATAATAAGGGCCAGTTCTGAATTCAGAAGGGGGTTGCAATCTGCTAATAAAGTGGCCAGTGAGTGTATTTCAAAAATAATTGATGAACACTAAGGCTTAAACAAATCAAAAAAAGATATCTTCAAAGTAGCACTTTCACACATCACCAAAGCTCAGTAAGGAAAGCGAGGACAAGAAGATGTGTCCCCATTACCACACAGTAATTACATTAAGACAGAATCTCTTTTCTGTCTGGACAGGAGTGACAATTAGAGCAACCAATAAGTCATTAACTGTGTTTTTGGCAAGCTGTAAGACGATCCTTTCAACAAACGAGATATAATGTTTTTGTTACTGAGCTTATGACGATTTTCTTCACCTTTAGAAAAAGCCAGTTAGTATTTTTTTTTATTTTCAGTCTTTATGCTAAGCTGTCTCCTCGTTCCTACTTCATATCGACTGAAAAGGAACATGTATGCTCTAATTCACTTCAGTTCTTAACACAGACATGTAAACTCTATAAATCCAATTTATTTTTTTTTGTTGCTGCATGGATCTGTCCAACCTGATCAAGCATGCCGTAGCAGGCGGGCAAATTGCTAGAGTTGGTCAACCGCACTTTCTGTTTATAGGGGTAATTGAGGAGTGCAGCACTGGAGTATCCACCACAATCTCAGGCACAACACACCTATCAACACAGACAAAAAAAGAGAGTCTGACAAGTAGAAGAGAAACGGCGAAATGGGTGGAGAAGGAAAGATATGAAGAGTATTTATGGACCAAAAAGTAATTGCATGGCATCATGCCAAAACGCTATTAATTAGAATGAATTCATAAAAGTATAATGACGGTGATTGCCGTGAGGAAGTCAGATTGCCACTGCCCTATTCTGAATGATGATGCAGGTGACATTCCATTGTATTATAACGCAAATTAGCTTCTGAATATTTAACACATCCTCCACTGATTTGCCGACACCTGCATGCAAGCTCAATGGACCACATTCACAACTTGTCAAAGCATCAGAACATGCAGACAGCTGAGAGCACAGCAGATTACTGGCAGAAAAAATGTACTTTATTCGAGAAAAAAGGATGATAGAAGAGTTTGCTAGCAGGCATTTTGGGTACCACAGTGTATATAATTGTATACTTAAGTACATATATGTAGCAGGTGTCATGTGGCAGATTGAGGCTGT